TTTAGGCCACGGCCACCATGCCCAGCGGCAACACCATTAAATTGTGCCATGGCTACCAAGCATGGCAAAGCGGTCAGCCATCCACCCTTAGCAAAGCCGCCAAAGAGCCCACCTATACACGTGTTTTAAAGGCCTAAGGGTAAAATAGTCAGCTCAAGGCAAAATACATGTATTTGAGATGACAAATGTGATTAAAAGTGTCAAAATGTCATTATAACAAAGTGACAACGTTTCGAGTCCTATTTGAGCAAAACCAACGTTAGGAGTCCTATTTTAGCAAAGGCACATGTTTGGGAGTTCTATTTTAGCAATTTTCTCCTCCAAATTACGGTCGTTCCCTTCAGCCCTCGCCGCCCCTACCACCGTGCTTCCATCCTGCTCTTCGCCCTCGACCGCTAAAATTCGGGCCATCGAGGATCGTCCGCCGGCCGCCGCTTCGGCTGGGCCGTCTTTGCGCTTTCTCTTTTCGCCATCGAAAGAGAAGGCCGGAGGGTCTTTGTCGGCGTCGTCAAAGGAGAACTTGGCCATGAATTTCTAATGAACCCCTTTTGCAGCAGGTGGGCACCGCGGGTGGGGCAGCGATCCGGCCACTCCGATTTGGCGGAGGCAGTGCTGGAATGGGGAAGAACTACGCAGTATTCAGGGCAGCCACATCCCCATTCGACCTCTGAGTAGATAGCATCTTCCCCCGACAACATGACCCAAAACATAGGTTTTCAGGGGGAGGATGCTCATATTTAATAAAAAAATTGTAAAAATGATATTCAAAAGATTGACTCCTTGATTATGATGACACTCGGGTGGATAACAAGTGGGTTCATCTGTGTTTATGAATGTGGGTCCAGTGTCAAATATGCAAACAACCGATGTTTCGAGTCTCATGTTTGCAAATTGTGCCTCTCAAGTAACCCAAAATGAGTCTTCCCTATATGTAGTCTGTTGGAGACCGATTTTGGGTCTCTTGCTACCCATTTTTGGTTTGGATGCCCATATGGGTCACTTGTTGGAGTCAGACTTCTGGATGGGCTTCCACTATATACTCGCTCAAAACAAAGTTTAATCGGAATCATACCATTTTCACGGATGAGAAAACTATCATTACTATTCATCGTATTGAAGTGGTTCCCTTAAATTCTCTCACCATTTTATACAATCTAGATACCGTTAGGCCCATGTGCAGGCGTCTATATTTTCATATGCCCTGAAATACCCATGTTAGTTGTTACACCCTCACTCTACATCTCAATGACATGCGGGACCCAACCGTCACCCACTACTTCGCCTTCCTCTAGCTCGGCCTGCCTCCACAAGACCAATGGCTAGCGAGGGCGGGGGGCGTAGAGAGGCGACACGGTGAGGTCCCTCTGTAGGCGGGCGAGCTCCACCCCAGCGGTGGCCCGAGCTAGAGGATGATGGCGGTGCGGGTGGCTAGAGCCATGGCAGGGGCAGCGCTCGACTGGGCGGATAGCTCGGCTCCGGCACAAGCACCAGCCACCGGTGTTGCTGCAGATCCCCTGAGGACACTGGAACGGGAGCAGGTGTGGCTGCTCTAGCGCTCCCATCAGTCACGGACCTCGCCGCGTCGTCCTCCGGGCCCGGGCAAGGGGCGTAGGTGTGGGTGAGGTGCGCGGCACGGAGGTCGGCGACCCAGTTGGCAGGGCAGTAGTGGCCCGTGATGGGGTGCTACACCAAAGAGATCTTGACGGCAGTGGCGCGAGTGGTTTCTTTGGCGTTAGCCCCAGACGTCGTTGACGCCGCTCTGACATGCCTGACCTCCTATAGCACGACGATTTCTTGTTAGGCACCACACGAGCTAACTGAATCCAATATCACACTCAATCCTGACTGCACATAAGACACCGAGAACTTCACAACCACTAAAGTCAAATATGGAATTTGCCACAAAGAGCTTCATCTTTTCCTTCCACTTCAATGCTACGTCTAACGTCTTACCATATAACCTCTTGCTGCCTTGACCAATTAGATTACTCCAATTGCAAATACAAACATCCATCATCTATAGTTCCTTCCAGTTCAGCCCTACGCCTTCCATCCCGCATGAGACTTGAATCGATCCGCGCACCTTGCTATCTTGGAAGTACGCAAATTCCTCTAATGCAAAACATGCATCCCAAGCTTAAGCCACATGCAAAACCTCAATCCGTGGACTTCTCATTATTTTGTGGAGACCATGAGAACGCAAACACATGACCCTATCCAATCCGGACTCTAAGTATCGTGTGCTTTCTTCCTAACCTTGTGCTGTGAATTTCTTTTTATTCTCCCGCACAATCATGTGCATGTCCACGACCAACAAGTCCTTTCCCATAAAAACACTGTTGTAATTATGTCGATCTTGCCACCTTGGACTCCTGCCTGCACCTCACGTCGCAATCATGAGACAAAAAAAATCCACTAGGCCATGCACACTGATGTCCGAGCCCCACACCATGCCACATGGAACCAAGCTTCCAGCGTTAGATTTGCTTAAGAGGGTTTTTTTTTGGAATCATCGCTTCAACATGTGTTGCAATTTGAGTGTAATAACGATGTCTAATCAATGAAGCGATGATTCCCAGTAAAAAAACCCTCTTAAGCAAATCTGACGCTGGAAACCAGTTAGTACTCCTCTATCAATAAGTGAAAAGTTCTCTCTAGTTAGTGTTGGGTCGGTTTCTTTCCCTGCTTCTGTTAAGTTGGTGTGCAATGTTTGTGCCTCTAGGCACATGGTTCTTTACCCTGGTCTTTTCTTCTTAATGCAATGATATGCGGTTCTCCTAAATGTTCGTAGAAAAAAAAGAAAAATTGTCTCTGTTTGAGGGCATGCCATTTGGTGCTAATGACTCTATCAAAGCATAGTTGGTGCTCTTCCATATCAAACTCTTACTGGACCTGATATTGCTTTCTCTGTAAATAAAGTATGCCAATTTATTCATGACCTACAATGTCACATTGGATAGTAGTTAAACCAATCCTAAGGTACTTAGAACAATGCACTAAGATTGGACCAAAAATTGGGAAGTCCAACTCCCTACTAGTCAGTGGAATTTCAAATTTGATATCATGGAGCCCACGTAAACACAGACAAATGATGTCAAGGGCTAGTAAAGAGGCAGAGTATAAGGCTATTGCTAATACCACTGCTGGCATAATATGGCGTGGTCTGGCGGCCGCCAGACCTTCCCACTGGCGAGACTATCCTCTTCTCCCATCTTTTTTGCGGCTAGACTACCCCTGCCATGTGCGAGCTCCCATGGATCCTGCTTTTGCGAGGAAGACGATGCTGCTTTCTGCTGCCGAGCGAACGGTTGGTTGGACGCGCTAGGCTAATGGGCCACGTAACGAGGCCTAGGGGACTCAGAAGGTGAACCGCTATGCTTTTTACCGATGATGATTCAATCTTCAGGAGTCTTGTTGTCAAATCAATATTTTTTCAATATATTTTGTACTAGACTAGAGGTGAGTGGCCGAGTCCTGGAGGTCATTGGTCTGGCAAATATTCATTGCCTATTTTTTTCCATTGGTATGATAATTCACTAATCACTAGTATTATTTAATGCTTGATATCATCTTTTAGCTGTGTTTACTAACAATTATGAAAGGTCGATCTCTTGTTTCACTGCATGTCTGCATTACTAACTCTTGTTTTCTATGTGATTATCGTCACTCGAATTAGCAGTAGAAAGTTCGCCATAGGTGAATTTTTAGTCTGGATCCTCCATTGTATATGGGTTCAAACTCTATTGAAAGAAATTGGTACATTGTCTCCACCAACATCCAAATTATGGTGTGATAACGTGGAAGTATCTTTCTATTTTTTCATTCTAGAACTGAACACATTGAGGTTGATTACCACTTTGTAAGAGAACATGTGGAAAGGAAATTATTAGAGATTGATTTAATTCCTTCAGGAGATCCGGTTGCAAATGGATTTACTAAAGCACTCCCTGTAAGACAATCGGAGAACTTTAAACACAATCTTAACCTAGCACGATTATGATCGAGGGAGGCTGTTAAATAGAAATTAAATATATTGTAATTCTGATTTGAAGTGCATACAGGATTGGCTGACATGCTTAGGTTCTTCTATTGTATCTTTGGTAGGGTAGATATCCTTTGGTTCCACCCATTTTTCCTTTTTGCCTCCGTATTGTTTCAACACAACAATGTTGTTGTTAGATCCTAAAATAAATCAAAGAAAATATGAGCACACTAGTAAAGTTGAGGACTTGAACCCGGATAGATAGGTCACAAGAAACCCAACCAATTGAGTTAGTTCGCATATATGAGATTTTTTTGACATAGTTGCTATAAAAATTAATGGAGAGAAACACAGATAACAATGAAGTTAAATCTCTTATAGGCCCTTGGTCTGTTGCATACATTTAATCGATGTATATAAGTATTTTAATTTTGATCTTCGCTTTTGCTAACATTCATTTCATTATTTGTGAAGATATATATGACCATTGCAATTGACCATGGAACGTGTCTCCAAAATTGTCAGGTGTCTTCCTCTTTCTAATGTTCTCTGCAAAATTGTCTTGGTGACTTCATTCTCCACGCTTCATGCTCACGCTTCATGCTGTCGATCAGCTTGCCAATCTTTGTTTTGTCCTATACGCTTTATGCCTCTCATCTTACATTTAATTCCCTACCAAATCTACTCTGAGAAAATACAGCAGATAACATTGTTTCTCCGTGGGTACACATCAAAACTGAACTCGCAATAGTGCATTTCAGGAAATGCTAAAGACCTTGATCAATAATAGCAGCAACATCTTAATTTGATTGGTTTCATTCCGTCTTTCTGATTCCACCATCTGTCCACATTTTGGATAAGCTAATTGTACAAATCATTATAATTATTAGCGAACACTGATGTTACATTTGCAATAAGTGCTTGTGGTACCCTTTTCTGCCCTACTGATGACTCATTGTCATCGTCTCGGTTGAGATTGACATACCTTCTGAAGCAGGACCCCTTCTAATATAATCATTTACCCGTAGATGGCATTCTTGCCAACTCCAACAGATCCACCGAGGGTTGGTTTCTCGTTGCCTCTGGTCTCTTCCTTCTGCATGCCGAAGGTGCTGGCACTGCTGCCCTCCGTAGAGTATGCGGTGCCTCCTGCAGGTACCAGGTTCGTGTCGGCGATGGCTGGAATCGTGTTGTCATCGGTCACTTCCTTCTGCGTGCCGGTAGAGGCTATGGACGTGGTTGCTGCTGGTACAAAAGCAGCCGCGGTCACGAGGGCAACGGCGATGAGCGCTGCGACGATGGTCGTACATTGGGCCATTCTGTTTTCTAGCTTGGACCATTTACAGAGTGATGGTACGTGGTTTGTGTTGTGACTTGAGAGAAGTGTAAACGGCAGTACTTAAACTCAATGCAAGAGATGGCGCCTAAGAATATATGAGGCTACGAGAGCTTTGCGGGCATCCATCTTCTTGTGTGCATGTACAGGTTTTGTTCCATCGTTTTAGTGGCTGACAAGAGATGGCATGTGTGGCAAGTGGCATTATGGCAAGCATGCATGTGTGCATACATTATTTGCCAAAGCGTGTGAAGAATATCAAATTTAGCAAGACTTAGCTAGTCACAGCCGGTTTTATGCAATCACAATTCCAGGACTGACGATCAAAGCATTCTTGAAATATCCAATTATCACGTGGCTCCAGTGAAACTGTGGGGCCATCACTATTATATTCAAACCGACAAATGTGTACTTCGATGTTATAGGGAATGTAGGTGAAATTGCAACATATATAAGATTGTTGCTCTCGAATTAGTTTTGACTTTGGTAGTCACTAGCACAAAACGAAATATGAAGGATATGTATAGCAAAAAATAAATAAATAACGAAACACTTGCTACAAATGAGAACCAAACTCACAACCTAATGTTTCGCATGCTTACTTACCACTACACTACAAAGTCAATGGTTACTAAATGAATGTTTCTTTCTTTTTTGTTCACTTTAGTGGATCTTGTGATGAACATTTGTGACCCTAAACAATTTCAAATGAAAAAAAGTTTGAACTAAAAGTTTTATATCTCGTCAAGAACTACAATTTTGGTTTAGATTGTATATCCATCCAAGGTCGTTTGGAAAATTAAAAAAAAATGAATTTCAAAACTCTGAAAACTGAAAACATAATATTTAGACTCTAAATAATTTCAAATGAAGAAGTGATCAACTACAAACACTAGTACAGGACTGGGTTACAATCCCGGTTGGGAAACCCCCTTTAGTCCCAGTTGCCCAACCAGGATTGCGAATCCGGGACTAAAGGCCCCCCTTTAGTCCCGGTTCTAGGAATCGGGACTGAAAGTGGACCTTTAGTCCCGATTGCTATTACCAATCGGGACTAAATGGTCCCCCAGACATTGCACCGGGGTGGCACGTTTAGTCCCGGTTGGTATTTCCAACTGGTACTAAAAGGTTTCTTTTTTTTCCATTTCATTCCTTTTCATTTTATGGTTTTTTTCAATTCAATTCTTTTTAGTTTTGATTAGCTTTTCGTATATGAATTCTACACTGCTAATACACGTCCATATATACTTTTGTATAAGGTTCCGTTTGAGCATTATACATAAATAACACATTAAAATGTATGAAACTATATATATACAAATATGCATGCATGAAATATGTACATATATAATAAAGTCACAAATGTACTCATGTCCCTGAGATTTCTTGCAACCCTAATCTTCCTCCGTCGTTTGGCTACTTGGTATGAATTCTTTAGGGTCATAGTAGTACGCGTCCTTGGGATCTATGACCTGCTCCAAAAGAAATTCTGACAATGCCTCTTGAATTGCTTTGATGTGGTCACATCGCAGGACCTTTCGCTTCCTCCATTCAATCTTCAAATTGAATAAAAGCAAAAGTATGAATATATATATATGATTATATATATCAACACAATGGTAATAAATAAATATTGTATATTTTTTACGTACTTTGAGGATCTTTTCACTTGTTCTCCTTGAGTACTCCATGAGGAACTCGCAGACGTACTATCCACATAAGTTGTTCCCCGATCCCTACTGTAGACACCACTTTACAAGAAAAAGATTCATCATCAACCAATGAAGCATGGTAATAATGAATTGAACTAAATAAAGATACGGTGACCTAGATAGTACTTACTGGGTATTTGACTATATGCAGAGGCACTTCCCAATTACCATAATGGTGTTTCTCGGTGAACGTTTTCCAAGCACTGCTCAACAAAATAAATAAATAGAGTTATATCATTAAAATGGCATAAGAGAGTTTACAGTATGTGCGAGACCGAAATTACCGCTAGAGTATATCGAGGATTTCTTGGTAATCTGCTTGGAGTTTTGTCGCTGAGTTAGAGATTTTTACACGACTCATATCGATGACCAGCAATATCCAGTGAAAGCTACATGTTTATACACAAGCATAACTCATTAACTAAGTCAACATGGAGTAAGCAAAATAAAATAGGCACAAGACATTCACACTCACTTGAAGCCATATGGGAAGAGTATCAGTGTCTTGTTAGCGTTCTTATCTAAGAACCTGAACAAAAGCTTCTCCACTTGAGGTCGCCATTTATCATATGGAGTAACCCTATCCTTGAATACGCGATTCGGATCAATGAAACCAACCTCAGTCATCGCTTTTTTCTTTAGTTTCAGCATCTCATATCTGCATATATATAGTACAATATATATAGTGTGGGGATAACTATATATGTACAACGAACTAATGTGCAAGTTACTTCAATTAAATTGTAGAAAGAATCACTTATAGGCACCAACAACTGACAAGAGATTTGTCGAGAGCGTCCCGGTGTAATAGTTGGTGTAATTCATTGAACTCAATATGTACAACGTCATAGCTCTGGTCTCACTCTAGCAAAAAGCCATGCTGCTTCGTCATTCTCGGTCACTTTTAAGTGCCACTTGTTCAACAAGAACATCTACGTACCTAGTGATGAGTAGTACTTAGGGTTCACAAGACTGGCCAGACACATAGATCCGGTAAATATCATAGTTGCCTGTTTGTATTGATGCTCCCCCATGAGTTGTTCAGCTGTGAGACCTGTGGTGGCCATGATGTCTTCTAGTGCCTCCTTATTTATTGGACCGCCTTATGTGTTTGTGAAATCACCCTCAACAACTAGCAGGCCGATATATTGCTTAGATTGCTACCCGAGCTGTGCAATAACTTTCCCTGCTCTCTTCGCTTTTAGCGATGCCTTATATAACTTGTTGAGAGAGCGTTCATAGTCTGATAATGGCGAGGGCTTACATTCATCATGCTACTTTTTTTCATGCTCATAGATTTTTTTTCCTTAGTTCTTGTTGAGCTATGTAGTGCGGCTTTGGCGGGTTTTTCTCAAGTTCCAACCTCCTTGCTCTCGATTCTGCTAAACCTTACTTCTATTTAACCAAATCTTTTTGTGCCACCGCTTTTGATTCCTCTTTAGACTGCTCGTAAGGTAGCTTCTCTAGAGGGGGCTTTGTTTTACGACGACTGGCTTTCTTCTTCACCGGGGACGAGGGCCTCTTCTGGCTCTGCGGCGTGGGAGGCAGAGGAGGGGGAGAACGCCTTGGAGGAGATGGAGATGGAGATGCAACCTTGCCATGGAACGCATCATCATCGTCTAGAGCACTCTGATGAACATCATGGGATGGAAGTGAACTCAGGTTGGGAGACCTGTGAGTACAAAAATGATTGCGAATAAATGGTTATTACGCGAGAAGCCAGTAATTGAGAATGATTAATTATTGAAAAACTATTTCGTTCACTTTCATCCGCACCTATCATGAAGTAGTTGAGGAGGAGGCGATAGTACCCTAGCCGTTGCACCGGGAATAATGATGTAGCACTTGCGCCATAAAACGAATGAATGCTATGCTTGTCCTAGGGTCTTCTCCCCATCACCTCTAGGAAAGTCAAAGGCACTTCCCTATAGTCTTTGATAACTCTATCCACCAAGACGCTATAATAGCCAGGTGGAATTAGATTCCCATGGATTGTTGGTGTCTTGTCGGGGACCACAGGAGAAATAATACCATGCGCCACCAAGACTGTGGCACCGGTATTCCCCAAGGGAATGTGCAGCTCACATGGCATCAAAGTCACGGTGATGTCATCCACGTCAAAGTGCTACAACGCTTCATCTTGATTTGGGAGCTTAGTGGAAGCGCAACTGCTTCTTAGCTGAGGGGGCTAATGTTGACAGCATGCTCTGATGTTGATGGCTGCCTTTGGCTACTCAACTGTAGTGCCACTTACCGTTTGATTTCCTCTTGCATTCTCGCCTCCATGCTTAGTTCTCGCCCCCGCTCTTGCTCCCACGATTGAAGCACCTCCTCCTCTAAACTGCGGATCTGCTCTGCCTCCTCATCCTTCCTTCACTGGTGGCTTCTATAGGTAGCGGTGTCCTCAGGGTAGCCATGCTGCCGCAAAATCAACCCTTTGCCTTGCATTCACCCAGGGTGTTCAAGAGTCTAAAGGGTGTACGTGAGCTCATCCTTCTCTCGGTTGGGCACAAAGGCACCACTAGTAGAAGCATCTACAATATCAAAAAGTCTTCATGTTGCTTCTCTGATTGTTCCACCAACAACTGGCTCCCCGGCCTTTGGGTCTAGTGATCCCCCATGCGCGAAAAACTAATTCTTGGAGCGTTTGGGCCAATCGATTGAAAATGGCTGGATCCCTTTGGTAAGCAGGTCTTCTTCCATTCTTTTCCACTTTAGAATGGCACTCCTATAGCCAACTAATCCCATTTTCTGATGGTACCACTTCTGTCGCGCATTTTGTTGGTTACTTCTCACCCGTTCCTCACCCTCTTCCGAGGTCTTGTACCTCACAAATTCAGGCAAGTCGTCCCTCAACTTTTTGTATGGGCTATTTTCACTGAAATCTAGAGTCAAATTCTTCTTGACAAATTCAGTGTACAGCTTCTTCTAGATCTAGAATTGTGTGGCCATCTTCATGAGAGCCCAACTTTTAACTAGATTTCTTAAATCTACACCTGCTGGTAGAGTGAAATGTGTAGTGACTAAATCCCAAAGAATGTCCTTTTCTCGTTCAGAGACAAAAATGATCAGAGGAGCATCCTTCCTCTTTTTCCATTCACAGACGCTGATTGGGACCTTGTCCCTAACAAGAACCCCACAGTGGTTTATGAACTTCTTTGCATTGTTTTTTGGCAGGAGCGGATCGCCAGTATTAGAATCGACTTATGTGATTATGTAGTGGCCCTCCAACGGTTTTGTCAGGCCTCGTACACTTTTCATCGACGTCGT